AACCATCCAATGAAATGATGATGATGGTGTGTGGCTGTTCACAGATGTTTGAGGACAAAGGAGGAGGGAAAAGCAACCTGTTCCTGTGTTTGTAATTACATGAGCCAAGATCAAAAGAGGGTTCATCCTCCATGTGGTCATTGCTGTAAACTGATACAGATTCAAGCTGGTTCTAGCAGCAAACTTCTGGGCTCCTGAAAGACTAATTTCTAACTTCAGTTCTTCTTTTTTGTTTTTCAATAGAAAAAAACACTATCTGTATTCCCACCATGCCTAGTGCTAATGACATCCGTGTATTATTTTTGTAAACTTTTAAATTATTAGTATATCAAGAGATTTGTCAGCCAAAATGAAAGTACTCAGAGCAAATGGAGTAACAGCTAAAGAAATCTACAGCCTTGCAGAAATGCTCGATATTTATTTTAAGCTCATTGCATCCACAATTGCAGCCATCTGTAAATCTACGCAATTTCATCCACAGATTAGGTTATCTTGCAATTAATATCTAATAAACTCCTATATACATTTTTACATGAACAGTTTATTGCATAGATTTAATTACAAACATAACACAACTCTTCCAGTACTTCCAGTCTGTGTAAAGTCTGGCTAACAGTAAGTACCTACAGCCATCTTAATTTAACAGTGTATTTAAAAGGGCAATCAGGTACACACATATGGGGTACAAACACAGATGAAGAAATCCCACCTGCAAGTGTGTTATCTATGGTGTTTTTTTTCTGCTGTCTTTAAAAGAATGGTTTAAAAGTTTGTCTGTTTCCTAAGCCAGTTAACGCTCAAACTGAGCAGTGCAAAAGTCAAAAGTCTTGATTTGCATTTTTCCAGATATGGTTGTGTGGTGGTTTGGCTAAATGCCAGGTATCCACAAAGCTGCTCTATCATTTCCTCCCCCCTCCCCCCTTTCCCCTTGTTTTCTCAACAGGGCAAAGAAGGGAAAGAAAATAAGATAGACTAACCCTTGTGGGTAAAACAAAAGCAATTTTAATATAAGCAAAGCAAAGGTCCACGCATGGAAGCAAAAGCAAACAGATTTATTCTCTACTTCCCATGGACAGGCGATGTTGGGCCTTCTCAGGAAGCAGGGCTCCAACACGCGTAGTGGTACCTCAGAGGACCAAGGGTGACACCATCCCCTTCCTCCGCCTCCCGCCGGCAGCGCTGCTGGCGCTGTCGGGGTATGGCTACTTCATTCGAGCAGGTACTTTTACTGATGAGACGAGTGCTTCTCGTTTAAAACGCCAAAGTTCGTGCTTCCGCAGCCCGTTAATGTGTAAGATCATCGCGCGGATGGATACACCGCGCTCACGCAGGGAGCTGCGGTTGATGCACCTTAGCCGCATCGCCTGACTCCATGGATGGACGTTGTGACAGGCTCTGCTCAACCTTTTCTGCAAACTCAGTGTTACGTATGAAGAACTGGGGGAGTCTGTCCTTTTGAAAGGTCAGATTGTGATGGATGGTACACTGTTTGTTCATCAAAATCAGCGAAAAGACAATGGAAAGGTGAACTGTCATATGAACTATTGCACATTATATAGAACTAACAGCAAGTGCTTAACTGAACTAACATGATAAAATGATAGTGTAAAAGAGTGAAAGAAAGGGGGAGGGGGGGCAACAAGAGAGAGAAGTCTCTGTACTTTATAAAGCATGAACAAGGACGTCCATAAATCTCCTTACTCAAGACCAGTAATGAGCCTAGACTGATAAGAGCACTGCAAGCTTGTAAACTCATCACATTCCAGGCAAAGTGTGAAAAGTACACTGTGAG